GGATTTTGTGGTTCAGAGTATTACTTTGTGATACAGCAGCCAGCTTGGGCTTGTGAGGATGCCTAACTAAAAAGCATAGAGCAACCCAATAAATGGCAGTGCTGCTGTATTAAGCAATCCTGAGTCATCATCTCTCTGAAATCCTAAGTATTATTTAAAAATCAGGAATAGTTTATTTTCATACTTGGTTTAAAGAATATATCTCATTTACTATATGCATGGTTATGATTTACTGTGTATAAACGAGATATATTCTTTAAACCAAGTATGGAAAGGAACTATTCCTGATTTTAAAATAATACTTGTTATATGTAACATTGCTTGAATTTTTAGATTTTTAAATCTAGTACATTTAGTACTGGATTCATTTCTATAAAAAATCAAATTCTGATATTTTAAGGAACTTCTAATCGGGGTACCTTACCTATAGATATCAGATTAAAGATTTTTGCCTTCAATGAAGTTCTGTGTGGTTTTGGTCTTATTGTTGGATAACAGGGATTTTAATACCAAATTTCTTTTTTCTGTAGGTACTTAATTGCATTGAATACTTTAGTTTATAATTTGAAGTAACTCTCCATTAAGAATGAAATAGTCCTTAATAAAAGTCAAAAAACAAACAAAAAAGAATGAAATATTCCCCTCACTTTAATGGGCTTTTATTATTTTAACTAGAAATTTGAAACACCATATTAACAAACAAGTCTTTTTTTTCTAATTGCATATTTTTATTGGGTTTTATATTGAAATGTGTACTTTATACATTTATTTTGATGAGAAAGAGTGCGTGCATGGTTATGTTTTTTAAGGAATGCCATTGGCATCCTCCTTTATATGTCTCCTGATGACGGAAAAGCAAAGCAATGTAGATGCTACGAAAAATATCTTCCATTACCCTGGAAAGGGAGATAAACATCAGCTTCCCCTATTTTCAGAGTGCCGTCATACAGTTAGTTATTTATATAGAAGAAACCTTTTACTTAAAGTTGATTCAAACCTGGTAAATTGTTCTTCCTTCCATAAATAGTTTATAGGAGCTGTGTGCTTTAGCTTTCTCTTTATCTAAGCTTCCAGAAAGCTCAGAACTAAGATGTCTGCTTAAAAGTTCATTGCAGCCCAGGTGTTCCAGTAGTTTCCCACATAATTCATTATTTGGTTTATAAAATACATATGATTGGAAAAGAATTAGGTTGACTAATGAATTTCTATTTTATCTTCAGCAGACATGTCATTTTAATGTTATATGATTTGATGGAAATATATATACCATTTTATTAGTCAACTTAAAACCCTTCACAACCAAATTATTATTAATAATTGATTTAGTTATCTTAAAATCCTTCACAACCAAATTATTATTAAATGAAATAATGGTTTCATAGAAGCTTTAAAGTGTCAGGCCTTTCATTCAGTCTTCTGATTAATCAAAAGATTAAAACTCTGGTAACAAATAGGAAAAAGACATAATGCCAAAGCACAAGCAATCTGTCTTGCTTTTTATCAATTTCTTGGTATCTTTTCTTTTTTAAAAAAAGAAAAGGTGGGAGTGGGGCATTCATTCATTTTATTCTGACCTTTAGAAGAGCATGAACAGTAAATTGAGCTTGTTTTCTTTTTTTTTTTTTTTTTTTTTTTTTTTTTTTTTTTTTTTTTTTTTTTAAAAGGCAAGGTCTTGCTCTGTTGCCCAGGCTGAAGTGGGGTGGTACTCATAGCCCACTGCAGCCTCAAACTCCTGGAATCAAACAATCCTCCTCCTTCAGCCTCCCAAGTAGCTATTTTAAAAATTAGGTGGGTGTGGTCACATGCACCTGTAGTTCAGCTCTTTGAGAGACTGAGGACTGCATGAACTTGGGAGGTCGAGGCTGCAGAGAGCTGTGTTCACACCACTGCACTATGGCCTGGGTGATAGAGTGACATTCTGTCTCTAAAAAAAAAAAAAAAGAATAAAGAAATTTTAAAAATTAAAATTTTATAAAGTTACAATAAGCTAAGCTTAATTAATTGAAAGAAAAATATTTTTATAAATTTAAAGTTTTTAAAAATATTTTTAATAAATTTGATGTAGCCTTAGTGTACAGTGCTTATAAAGTCTACAGTAGTGTACAGTAATGCCTTAGGCTTTCACATTCAGTCTCTGCATACTCACTGACTCACCTAGAGCAACTTTCAGACCTGTAAGCTTCATTTATGATAAGTGCCCTGTAAACATGTCCCATTTCTAATCTTTAATACCATACATTTTTTTTTTTTTTAGACAGAGTCTTACTCTGTTGCCCTGACTGGAGTCCAGTGGGGTGCCGCAGCCACCAGAGTAGCTGGGATTACAGGCATGCACCACTATGGCCAGCTAATGTCTGTATTTTTAGTAGAGATAGCGTTTCATCATGTTGTCCAGGCTGATCTCAAACTCCTGGCCTCAAGTGATCCACCGGCCTTGGCCCCTTAAGGTGCTGGGATTATAGGCATAAGACCATATTTTTAATCTTCCTTTTCTATGTTTAGATATATTTAGATACACAAATACCTTATATTGCAGTGGCCTATAGTATTCAATACAGTAACATGCCATACCATTTTTAGCCTAGAAGCAATAAGCTCCACTATTTAGCCTAGGTTTATAGTAGGCAGTACCAACAGGTTTGCGTACGTATGCTCTCTGATGTTCACACAACTGTGAAATCACCTAATGTATTTTAAAATGTATCACCATGTTTGGGGTTGAGCATGATGAAACAAACAAAAATGTTTCACCATAGTTAAGTGACACGTGACTGTATTTGGGTAGGCACAAAGTTAAACTTTTAATTTAAATAGTTGGCCAAATACTAATGTAATAATGACATATACTCAGTATCCTGCAGTTCGTAATAGTTGTAAATAACCTTTATCGAGTGCTTATTATTTTCCACATCTCCATTATAAAGTAATTTCCATGAGGGCAAGGATTTTTATGTTAATGTTTTTTTCACTGCTTTATGATACATTTTAATTTATCATTTAGGCACACTGGGCCAGATATGCTGACTCATGCCTGTAATCCCAGCACTTTGGGAAACCAAAGTAGGAAGATCACGTGAGCCCAAGAGTTTGAGGCCAGACTGGGCAACCTAGCAAGACGTCCTTACTCTGTTTTTGAAAAAATTAGGCACAGTAAAAGATTAACTGCCTTAACTAATAAAAATGTAACAGCATGCAAGTATCACTGGTCTTGTACTTTGGGGGGGGGGGGTTTATTAAGTAAAATAAGGTTGTTTGAACACAAAAATTGCAATACCTCAACAGTTAATCTGAGAACCAAGCCAATTATTAAGTAGCTAACGGGGCAGATAGCATCGACAGTTTAGAGACACTGGTCAAAGGGATGATTCACATTATAGATGGGACAGAACTGGATGGGGAGAGATTTCATCACACTACTCAGAATGGCTCACAATTTAAAACTTATGAATTGTTTATTTCTGGGATTTTCTAATATATTTTTGGACAGTAATTGACTGAGGGTAACCGAAACCATGGAAAGCGAAACCACAGATAAGGGAGAACTACTATATATAGATATATATCTATATAGATGTTATATTTATAAAAATATTTGTGTGTACGTACATGTGTATGTTGGTTAAATTAAGGAATAACCTGTGACGTAGCTGCCTTTATTCAGTTGAGACACAGAGAGGTAAAGTAAGTTGCCAAAGATCACCTATCTGTTAGGTGGAGGTGCTGGGATTCAAACCTATGTAGTCTGATTTCAGAACCTGTGCTCTCAACTGCCATTGTTTTCTTCAACCTCTGTTGTGTTTAGAGAAATACAGGAATATGTATTATTAATGTTAGTAAATAATTGCTTTCCTTATTCAGTAGACTCAGTTATTTTAAGGGTTATCATAGCCTAGTGCAGGGCTTCCCACCCTCAGTACTGTTGACGTTTCTGGAGGTTTATTTTATGTGGAGGGCTCTGCTCTGCATTGTAAAATTAGCAGCACCCTGGCCTCTACCCACTAGATACCAGTAACATCTCCCCAGTTGTGACATTCAAAATGTTACCAGGGATTGCCAAATATTCTCCTGGGAGGCAGAATCACCCAATTGAGAACCACTTGTCTAGACCTACTCATTAAAATATCCTTGAGGAAAGTCTGGAAGTAAGAGTAGGTAAACACTAGCATCGTATTTAGAAAGGTTTGGACTTCCTACTAGGCCACAGTGACTACAGAGACAAGGTGGGTATTAGCTTGTTCTGTGACCATAGGTATGCTTTAGATCAAGACCTGAATTTGGCCAGGTGCAGTGGCTCATACCTGTAATCTCAGCACTTTGGGAGGCCAAGGTGGGTGGATCACCTGAGGTCAGGAGTTCAAGACCAGCCTGACCAACATAGTGAAACCCTATCTCTACTAAAACTACAAAATTAGTGAGGTGTGATAGTGCATGCCTGTAATCCCAGCTACCTGCGAGGCTGAGGCAAACTGAGAAGGAATGCATTTAACTTTTTTTGTAAAAATGGAGGTAACATTTACACAAATATACACTCCCAATAGATAGTAGTAGGAAAGATATATTTGGGAATCTCAAAGGGCTGGCAGCTGTCACAGTGGCTCACGCCTATAATCCTAGCACTTTGGGAGGCTGAGGTGGGTGGATCACCTGAGGTCAGGAGTTCAAGACCAACTGACCAACATGGTAAAACCCTGTCAATACAGGAAATTATCTGGGTATGGTGGTAGGTACCGATAATCCCAGCTACTCAGGAGGCTGAGGCAGGAGAATTGCTTGAACCCAGGAGATGGAGGTTACAGTGAGATCATACCATTGTACTCCAGCCTGGGAGACAAGAACAAAGTTTCATCTCAAAAAAAAAAAAAAAAGGAGTGGGGGCTGGGAGTTGAATTTCATTTCTTTTGTAGACTAACTTTAATGTTACAGTAACAAAATGGTCATTTAAATACCTACATGTTCTTTTTTTTTTTTTTTTTTTTTTTTTTTTTCTATTCTTGTTTCAGCCATAATGAAAGGAAAGTGACCTGCAAACATCCAGTCACGGGACAACCATCACAGGACAACTGTATTTTTGTAGTGAATGAACAGTAAGTAAAGAGTTCATGGAATGTATTTAAAATAGGGTTAGCATTGAAATTGCTGTTATTTATATTTCAGTCAGTACAATTTAACAGCTTTCTTATCTGGACATTTGTAGTCAAATATAACATAATGTGTCATCCAGAAATCTGACTTAAATATTTTTTCATGAGGAATGTAATTTCAGAAGCTGTTTTGATAGTACTTCAAGCTCAGTAAGCTCTAGAGCTCAGGATGCAAGCATATAGAAACTATGTAAACTTGGTTAGATTATTAAACTAATTTGAGCTCAGTTTTCTCATCCTTAAATCAGATAGTGGTAATTTCTATTTTACAAGAGTTTTATAAGCATCAAATGAAATATGTGTACAAATATATCGTACGATAAAACTATTCACAGAATAAGTTACTGAAATTGTTATTGTTTGTAATATCAGAATAATCTTATAATTCATTTTTAATTTTTAGTTGGATGATGAAGTAGAATATCTGCAGTAATGCCTATTAAAAATAAACATGATAGGCCGGGGGTGGTGGCTTATGCCTGTAATCCCAGCACTTTGGGAGGCCTAGGTGAGCAAATCACTTGAGGTCAGGCATTGGAGACCAGCCTAGCCAAGATGGTGAAACCCTGACTGTACTTAAAAAATACAAATATTAGCCGGGTGTGATGGCGTGTGCCTGTAGTCCCAGCTACTGAGGAGTCTGAGGCAGGAGAATCAGTTGAACCTGCAAGGCAGATTCTGCAGTGAGCCAAAATCACACCACTGCACTCCAGCCTGAGTAACAGAATGAGACTCTTGTCTTTAAAAATAAAAGTAAATAAACATGGTAATAATAAATATTTTTGGCTTAGGAAAAGTGTTAGCTGTATTTAAAGTTGTTGTAAGTATTAAGGCCTGACTCTAGAGTAACTAGGATCGAACTACTTTGAAAAAGTAGGACACTCGCATTGTTAACTCTAGGAAAGTGTTATTATAAAGCAGGTTACATACCCAGCAAGTTCTAGCATTTTGACATATATTTTCAGGACTGTTGCAACCATGACATCTGAAGAAAAGAAGGAACGACCTATAAGTATGATAAATGAAGCTTCTAACTATAATGTGACTTCAGATTATGCAGTGCATCCAATGAGCCCTGTAGGCAGAGTAAGTTATTTTACTTTCTATTAATTATTGATAAGGAGTAAACAGTATCTATACCATTACTCATAATGGACTTAGAATTATAGAATAATCATACATTTTTATTATTACATGAGATATAAGTAGCAATAGGCTGAAATATAAAGTAATAAGATTGTAATTCAATTACTTACATTTTTAAATTTAGAATAATGTTAGAAATCCAATGATATTTTTGAGAGAGAGTGGACACACTTAAGTTTTAAAGGTGAAAAGTAATGTAGTGGCCTAGAAATCAAATTTTCTGACTATAAGAATGCCTAGATTGAGAAAACATTTTTCAGCAAAACCATTGTAATAGTAGATTATGTTTATTATAAGGAAATAGATAATTATAATAATAGCATTTTAAATGCCTGTTAAGGTTTTTGAAATAAAATTTTGTTAGGAGATTATAAATGAATATACATTTTCAAATAATATAAATAATTTTTGATTATTAATAACATAAATCCAACAGGCTGAGCATAATGCTTTATGAGCATATTTTAATTAAAATCTGGAGAAATTGATGAATGGATTGAGGGCCACTAGGTCATTGTCTTGAAAGAAAGTTGAATCCATTCCTCATACTTTACACCAAAAATCCTCTAGATGGATCAGTTGTTGAAATGTTAAAAGCAAAACTGTAAAAGCACTAGGGGAAAAAAAAATGGAAGATTTAAGGGAAAAAAAGAGCTCAGAATGCAGATGGGCTTTCTAAATACGACATAAAACCCAGAAGTAACAATATAAAATAATGAGAAATTCAACCACATGTGATTATTATCCATGCAGAGTATCTGCAATTCATATAGCAATTAAAGAATAATTTCCTTATAATTAAAGAAGTGCTTTGAATCAATAAGAAAAGGGTTTATGAGCCAGTTTGGAAATGGACAAATTATATAAAATCAGTTCTCAGTAAAGAAAATGGAATTTACTGTTAAATAGATGAAAAAAGATGCTCAGCGTCATCCATAATATGAAAAATATTATTTAAAACCAGAAAAAGATACCATTTTCACCTGCGGATTTCCAAAGGTCAGAAAGTTTCATAACACAACATATTGACAAGAGTATGGGTAAATAGGCATTCTGTTTATATAGTGAGCTCCAAGAAATAATGAAACAAAAGAGTGGATATTAAAATATGCTGTCATTTCAGAAAAATATTCAAAACCATGAGAACAATTATTTTAGATAGATAAACACACACATACACACAACGATATTGGTTGCCCCACAGAGTTGCGAGTGCAGTTAGCTGGGTGCGAGAGCCCAAGAGTGAGAAGTAGATTGATCCTTGTGTATCTTTTTGTGTCTTTGAGTTTTATAATGTTTTTAAGCATTATCTGTTTGAAAGTAAATTAAAATCTATCAAGAAAATATGCTTTAAGAAGAATTTTGTTGATATTGGGCCTTAAAATTCTCTTATATACTAATAAAAGCTTCACAAAAAACAAAATTCTAATGACGTATGCTAGATTTCTCTACAAGTAGGGAAGCAAGAGATAATTATATGTTACTTTATAGCTTCATTGTTTTCATGTTTGTTGGTCACCACTACAATTCCTACCAAAATAAAACTTCATGGAAGGCCGGGCGCGGTGGCTCAAGCCTGTAATCCCAGCACTTTGGGAGGCCGAGGTGGGTGGATCACGAGGTCAAGAGATCGAGACCATCCTGGTCAACATGGTGAAACCCCGTCTCTACTAAAAATACAAAAACATTAGCTGGGCATGGTAGCGCTTGCCTGTAATCCCAGCTACTGAGGAGGTTGAGGCAGGAGAATTGCCTGAACCCAGGAGGCGGAGGATGCGGTGAGCCGAGATCGCGCCATTGCACTCCAGCCTCTGTAACAAGAGTGAAACTCCGTCTCAAAAAAAAAAAAAAAAACAAAAAAAAAAACTTCATGGTAATAACCATAGCAGTATTTTTAAAGATTATATATCCTTATGCATACTTTGAAGAATCCAGTAAACTCCATTTGTCTGGTATCATTTAAGTTCAGAGTTGTCCATTAAAAAAAAAAAAAATCGCTATTTCACATTAAGCAGATCCTTCCAGTCTTGTTTTGACTTGATGTGATATATTTGTTTATATTTAATATCTGTATATTTCTCCTCAGACTGAGTGCTGTTAACTTTAATTGAACCTGCACTATTAAATGCAGATATAAAGGGGAAAGTTATATCATTTGGTTTATTCTTAAAGATTTGTTAACAGTTTTTACTCAATATCTATTCATTTTATATAGCAGGTCGGACAAAATACTGCCACAGACTCTGTCTTTCTAAAAATTGTACGTCCTATCCAGATTTTAAAGGAAAGATTGTAAAACTTGTGGTATCCTGGGGGGAAATTTTTGATGCAGAATCCTTATATTTCAGAAAACTAACCCAGCAAAAGTAAAATTTTAGTAATTTATCTGAAAAGATTTAAGTCCTGCAAGTCTTGGGAAAATCTGAAAAGAGATTAAATTTGAAGAGGAAAATAAGCTCAAATATCTAGGCATTAATACCACATTTTTTGTCATACTCTTTTTCTATTTAGACTTCACGAGCTTCAAAAAAAGTTCATAATTTTGGAAAGAGGTCAAATTCAATTAAAAGGAATCCTAATGCACCAGTGGTCAGACGCGGTTGGCTTTATAAACAGGTATTTTTTTTTTTCTATTTGATATGAAACAAAAGACAGAATTAGAAGGAACCTTTTTAACTGAATGTACCAAAGACAACTCGATAAAATCATAAAATTAAGAAGGAACTACGGAGAAGCCACCCAGGTTCTTTGACTGCTTGTTACCCCTGAAAAATATCAAGGGAACAGTGAAGACAGAAAAACGGGTGGACATTACTTAGAACAGAGATTGTTTGTGTGTTTGTTATGGGTATTTCTAGATTTAAAATTAAATATATGCTGTATGAAAATGTTAGAAATAGCATGGTAAAAGTATCCAGGTAGAAATATTTTTTAAATGTCAAAATTGAAATAAACAACTAAATATTAATACAAGGGTACTGTTCATTTTTCTGTTGATATAAAAATCATTAGAGAAATATACAGTTATATATTTCTCCTCCTTTATATAGAAATTTGATAATTTCAGATTTTTCTGGGTTTTTTGATTCTATAATATGAGACTAGTCTTTCTTCCTCTTAAGTTTTTTTGGTTATGTTTTTCTTTCTTTTTTTTTTTTTTTTTTTTTTTCTTTTTAATTTGCTCATAGAGTTTACTGTCAGGCATCCTGGTAAGTTGGGGTTTATATTGTTGCATTAACTGGGGAACTTGCTATCTAAGCTTTTTTGGAACCTTATTAGTTTTGGAATTAGGAAAGGTGTATGTACATTACCTCCTTGGATTTTGGCATCATTTTGATTACATAGAGGCTGTTGTTTACTTTCCAGTTTGCAGCTGGGTTTCAGATAAGTGGCTGGCAGATAAGTGAGGTGGCATCCGCAGTCTCCAAAGGCCTTTTTTGTTCTCTGATTCTATGTGCTTACAGATTATACAAAGAAAGTTACATATTAGTTCATTGGTGCCAGTTTATTCTATTAAATATTGCTAATTACTTTCAGGTGACCTAATGATTTTTATTTATTAAGACTCATAATTTTTATTTAAAGATTTTATACACACACACACACACACACACACACACACACACACACACAGATATATATATATATATATTTTTTTTTTGATCATTGACTATATTTTAACTATCTGATATTTAAGCTTATCTAAGCCAAAAGATTTTTGCACATTTAGTTTCTTTTAGTCTCTTATTTTTTTTTTTTTTGAGACAGAGTCTTACCCTGTCGCCCCCTCAAGCCTGGAGTACAGTGGCATGGTCTCGACTCACCACAACCGCTGCCTCCCAGGCTCAAGCAATTCTCCTGCCTCAGCCTCCCAAGTAGCTTGGATTACAGGCATGTGCCACTGCTGCCCAGCTAATTTTTGTATTTTTCATAGAGACAGGTTTTCACCATGTTGGCCAGGCTGGCTTTGAATTCCTTTCCTTCAAATGATCCACCCACCTCGGCCTCCCAAGTGGTGGGAGTACAGGCATGAGCCACTGCACCCAGCCCAGTTTCTAATAGAACATTTGTTCCATATTTTCCAACTAGTCTTTCTAATAAGTCCAACTTATGTTCAAATATTTCAGTGCAAAATTGAACCTAATAGCCTGTGGCACTCCCTATTTAAAATAGCTCTTGTTCTTATTTCTTGATCCCTTGGTTAATTTAGCATTGCAAAAGTGTTACCAAGTAGCTTCTCTAATAAGTGTTTATTTTGGGCCAGGCACAGTGGCTCATGACTGTAATCCCAGCACTTTGGGAGGCCAAGGCTGGAGAATCACGTGAGCCCAGGAGTTCAAGAACAGCCTGGGCAACATAGTGAGACCTCCTGTCTACTTTTAGGTCAGGAGTTTGAGACCAGCCTGGCCAACATGGAGAAACCCCGTCTCTACTAAAAATACAAAAATTAGCTGGGCAGTAGTGGCACACGCCTGTAATCCTAGCTTCTCGGGAGGCTAAGGCACAAGAATCACTTGAACCCCGGAAGCGGAGTTTGCAGTGAGTCAACATTCTACACTCCATCCTGGGTGACAGTGTGAGACTTTCTAAAAAAAAAAACTTGAAGAAAATATCATATACCGTTTAATTTTTTCCTTTTTTGTCTTTTTTTTTTTTTTTGGTATCTGTTTAGTTTTCACATGCAATTTTGCTACATTGCATATGGGAAAGTAATTTTTGTTAAAATTCTAATTTTGTTTTGAGCCTGATATTTTAATGAACTAAATTACTTAGCAATAGCTGCCAAATAAGCTCTCTTTTCTGCATGATGAGCAAATCCCAAGCTGTGGACTAAGAAGAAAAAAGTTTATGAAATATATTTGTATATTAAGGTTTCTTTATTCACAGTCATTTTAAATCACATTACCTTTGGAATAATTTCAATTCACATATTTTTCCTCTTGTTGAAGATTAACATATTTATTGAATCTGGTTTACCAGAATGCACACACTCCTGCATGGTTACAGTAGTCTCATCCTAGCAGACATTTGTGTTGAAAAGAGTGAATTTCAGATTGCTTACAAATATGAAACCAAATTAAATTGCCTTAATATATTCCTTTTACATGATGGTATTACTTTTCAGAGACCAGTCTAGTTGAGAATATCTTAGGGCCCTAGAAAACTACCTCCAAATTTTTAATTGGCCTTTTAGTTAGGTTATGTTACACATGTATCAAACATTCCTTGTTTTAAAAGTTTACTTTAAAAAAATGCACAAGGTCAGCCGGGTGCGGTAGCTCATGTCTGTAATCCTAGCACTTTGGGAGGCCGAAGGGGGAAGATTACAAGGTCAAGAGATCGAAACCATCCTGACTAACATGATGAAACCCTGTCTCTACTAAAAATATACAAAGATTAGCTGGGCATGGTGGCGCACACCTGTAGTCCCAGCTACTTGGGAGGCTGAGGCAGGAGAATTGCTTGAACCCAGGAGGCGGAGGTTGCAGTGAGCCAAGATCGCACCACTGCACTGCAACCTGGCAACAAAGCAAGACTCTGTCTCAAAAAAAAAAAAAAAATGCACAAGGCCAGGCACGGTGGCTCAGTCCTGTAATCCCAGCACTTTGGGAGGCCAAGGTGGGTGGATCACCTGAGGTCAGGAGTTCAAGACCAGCCTGGCCAACATGGCGAAACCCCACCTCTACTAAAAATACAAAAAAATTAACCAGGCCTAGTGGCAGGTGCATGTAATCCCAGCTACTTGGAGGCTGAGGCAGGAGAATCACTTGAACCTGGGAGGCAGAGGTTTCAGACCTGAGATCGTGTCATTGCGCTCCAGCCTGAGCAACAAGAGCAAAACTTCGTCTCAAAAAAATATAAATAAATGCACAAGAAGTGAGTTTTTATTGTTTCAGAAATAATCTTTAAAAATGCTGATTTAATGCAGGACAGTACTGGCATGAAATTGTGGAAGAAACGCTGGTTTGTGCTTTCTGACCTTTGCCTCTTTTATTATAGAGGTAAGTTTACCCTAGACTATCTTAGTGTATTATTTTGTAATTGATAAGTAAGTTATGTATTATATGTATGTATATTAAATATCAGATACTTTTTTTAAAAGAAGTATTATAATTCTGTGTGCTATTTTATTATCAACAAATAGTATCAAACAGATTTTTTCTTTTTTGACATGCCACTCTCAGTCTTGGGGTTATGATAGAATAAATTCGGTGCTTCAGACCATCTTCAGTCTGAGTTTTAGTCCAGCTTCCCTAATCTTTGCTCTATAATGCTACCCTTGAGTTTGATGCATTACAGATACAAGCCTTAGTTTGACGAGGTTCTTTTCACATGTCAGTTTTGTCAGATCTAGCTTATGGTTCCATCAAGCACCCAATTCTGCTCCACAGCAAATGATATCAGAACATAAGGGACTACTATGATGTATTGACAAATGAAAAAAGTAAATTACAAAGAAATATTTTCATTCTGGACTCTTTTTTTTAATCAAACACAGATAGCTTTTTTCTGGTTAGTAAATTATTAATTCAGTTTTAAATAAAAATCCAGAGATGTTTCTATTCGTATGCCACAATCTCTGAGATGCTACAAAGTTGTTACCTGCCAATGAAAGCCATACCTAGGTGGTGCTCTCCAGAGAAATCTGCCTCAGCTAAAGTATAAAGTCATGAATCTGGATTCTCTCTCCTTCTTCCCTACTTTAAACTTTGGTTGTAAACTGCCACAAAGAATTAGATTGTCAACCCATGATTAATAATTTATGACTTCTCTTGAGAAGTGTAAGTTAGAAGATATAACAGAGTTTTAGAAATGATTAGCAGTTTTTATATTTTTTTACTACACAAAAGACCTGTGGCAAATTTATAATTGTGTATTGAAGCATTATGATGCATATAAACCTTCAAAATTTGGAATTACTAGAATCATTTTCATCTGCAAGCTGTACTAGAGAATTACTGCTGATTCAGAATTAACCAAGCCTATAAAATTGCATTTTGTCATAGAGATGTTCCTCAGGCTGCAATTGTGGTATTATCTTTAGTTAAATGCTAAGCTTACTCTACAATTTTCTTTAGGGGTTTTCTTACTCTTTCAGAAAGTTAGAAGTTGTAGTTCAGGCATTATCCTTAAGCTTATAATTTCTCTTTTCCTCTCTTTTTCAGTATATTTATGGACCACTTATAACAAGAAAATGTTTATTACGTCTAATATAAGAATTTGTTGGATTTTTGGGGGGTGGGTAATTTTTGATATGGAGTCTCCCTCTGTCACCCAGGCTGATCTCAGCCCACACCTCCACCTCCCAGGTTCAAGTGATTCTCGAGCCTCTGCCCCTCCAGTGGCTGGGATTACAGGCACACGCCACCATGCCTGGCTAATATTTTTTTTTTTTTAGAGGCTGGGTTTCCCCATGTTGTCCAGGTTGGTCTCAGACTCCTGACCTTAAATGATACACCCACCTCAGCCTCCCGAAGTGCTGGGATTACGGATGTGAGCCACGGCACCCAGCCAAGAATTTGTTGATGTTACTTTTCGGCCAAAAAACACTGAATTCCTTTTAATTTGCTATTTTTGTTGCCCAGGGAGGTGAGGCTCATCGCTTTTATTATAATAGGAAAACTTTTTTTTGTTTTGTTTTTGAGACGAAGTCTTGCTCTGTTGCCAAGCTGGAGTGCAGTTGTGCAATCTCGGCTCACTGCAACCTCCGTCACCTGGGTTCTAGCAATTTCCCTGCCTCAGCCTCCCAAGTAGCTGGGACTGTAGGCATGCGCCACCATGCCATGGCTAATTTTTTTTTTTTTTTGTAATTTAGTAGAGATGGGATTTCACCATGTTGGCCAGCATGGTCTTGATCTCCTGACCTCATGATCTGCCCGCCTCGACCTCCCAAAGTGCTGGGATTACAGGCGTGAGCCACCGTGCCTGGCCTATAATAGGAAAACTTTTAATCATATTTGAAAAATGTAAAAGTGAGTCAGAAACCATGCTAATGGATATAAAGTTCAGAACAGTAGACACTGGGGAGGGCTGAACATAGTACCGATTGGGTACTGTGCTATCTAGAGACTGATTGATTTGTACTCCAAACCTCAGCATCGCACAAGTTACCTCTGTAACAAATCCACATGTGTACTCCTGAACCTATAATAGAAGCTGGGGGGAAAAAAAAAAGCAAGCCATGCTGAGTCTGAGATTCCTTATTATTAACCACTTACATTTTACATGCAATGTACTTATTAATTTTAGTAGTTTCCCATGCAGGAGGAATGTAAAAAAGAAGAAACTGTAGAAACAAGAGAAATATCATTTAACTCGCTTCAGAGTAAAAAATATCATTTTACTCTGCAGATTGTTGGAAAGAAGTATTTGATATTATACATTTTCACTATTTTATCAATAAGAAATGTTAGATTTTAAATTAAAATAATTAGATTTTAGTGAGATGATCATAGTAGCCTGTATATATTTTTTGTCATATTTACTATTTGCTGAGTACTGTGCTAAGGCTGAGGCAGGAGAATAGCTTAAACCTAGGAGGCGGAGGGTGCGGTGAGCTGAGATAATGCTGTTGCACTCCAGCCTGGGCAACGAGAGTGAAACAGCGTCTCAAAAAAAAAAATTGAAAAGGTAGATAAAGGCACAAAGGGCATTTGTTTGCCATTCTAATGAACTGTAGCTTGAATGCAAGAATAATAAGATCAGGAATACAAGTTAGGAAAATCACTCTAGCACTTTAATTAGAAGCCAAAAGACCATTTAACAGTGTTGGAGTATTCCAGGTTATAAATGATAATTGTGATATTTACCCAGCTATAACTGCATGTATTTTTTGTCTTACTCCCAAATATCTTTAAAACTAAGTGGAAATGGATAATTTAAAATGTCACTTGAATCCAGTAAAATGTTGAGATTCTTATGGCTCCTGTCCCAGGTCATGTTCCCTAGGAAGCAAACTGTGATGGAGATTAATATGTAGAAAGCTTTTTAAAGAGCATTGTTCTTGGAACCATCAGCTGTGGCAAAATGAAGGAAGAAAATGGCAGAGACAAAATGGGCTGCCATGCATTCTCAGAAAGGCCTCTGCTGACCCCATGGAGAGTTCTTTCATTCTACAGACATTACTTAGTACTTACTCTTTGTCAGTCTATGAGACACTCTAGGTGATAGAAACTAGGACCGTGCTTAGGTCGGGCTTGATGTAGAACTAAACAGAAGAATGTTGTGATTAGGAGCAGTTTAAGAAGCTGAAGAACTCGGGATAGTCATTTGATAGAAGATGAAGATTTTTTTATATGCACTGTCTTTAATTTTATATAATAATGGCAGTATTTACTTAATGCTTCACTCTCTGTGCTGAGTTTTTTTAATGTGTATTAACTCATTTAACCCTCATAACAATCTTTTTGAGGCAAGTCCTATTATCCCCAATTTTATAGATGAAAAAACGGATATGAAGCATTAATAATGTGCCTAGGATCTCACAGCTAGTTAGTGTTAGGCAGGAAAACAACCTCAGGTAGTCTAGGGAAATCACCCTTTGCTATAGTGCCTCTGTCTAGTCTGAAGAAACTTTAGGAAAGATGATTTTATCATGGGACATAGAAGGATGTATTACATGGTTAAAATGATTTTTTAATAAAGATGACTTCATAAGCTGTTTCTGATGATACCCTTTATATAAACATAAACATAAAATTGAATTCAAAATTAGGATGTGACCTATTCTTTTAAATTGTCATATTCTCCATAATTCATGACTGCTTTCCAACTCTTTTTAACCTTTTGGACTAAATCTGTACTTTTGTTCATTCTTATATGCATTAGTGAATTGTACCAGAATGTGCACAGAATAGTAAAAACAAAATTTTGTTCCATTATTATGAGAAAAGCTATCAAAAAAAAGCCTCCATTTAAGACAACTTTGTCCCTTTTGGTTGTTTTGCCAGAAACATTCTAAACGTTTAGAGATGAGGGCAAAATAGATAAAATCCCTTGTTAAGGTTTTTGATAATTAGGAAAAAAAGATCACACACAGCAAGCATAATAAAAAGAATTATTTCCCATTGATGGTTTCTCATTGGTGAGTTTATTAGCCTGATGACACAGCTTTATTAACTTGTCTTATGGGTCCATAACAATGAAGTACATATTTCAATTTTCATAAGCATCTCTGCCGCCAAGCAGCAAGTTAATAATGTGAATCTATGCTGTGTCAAGATTAATGTTTATCATTTTCCTAGGTATATTTTATGTGCTTGCCTTGGCCTATAATTTTGCCACACCACTCTATTGTGTATCACAATGACCAGCAAAAGCAGACCTTCAAAATTAAATGTTTAAAAAAGCATGTAATTTTTATAGCATAGTTTAAAACCTGTATTCACTATACTCCAAGAATGTTATGAAAAATAAAAATAAAAAGTAAATATGTATTCACATGTGTCTTCATTTACTCAACAATTTTTGAGCTTCTACTGTCATTGTAAGTGTCTTTATATAACTTACATTCCAGTATGGAGAAAAAGATAACAAGCAAATAAATAGCTAAAACATACAGCATGCTGGAGGTGTTGAGAGTAGGGTGTGGTAACATTCCCAAAGGAGAACAGAGAAAACGTTAATAAAGAGCATTTTAAAATACAGTAGTCAAGGAAGCCTTCATTGATGAGACCTTTGAGCAAAGCCTGAATGATGTAACCAACAAAGCCATGTATTGTTTGTCTGGGGTTAGAAGGTTGGGCATTTAAATCCTATCAGAAATGAGGATTGAATAATGCCATTACTTATATACCAGTATATTTTCAGTGAATGACATGTAAAGGGGCTTTGTAGAATGTAGTATACATACCAAAGTGTAAATCCTTGTGCTATTTGATATTTTCATTGAAAACCCTATAAAGACCTGCCTAAACATGAATATAGTTCATTTATATACAGGAACCTTTTGATTTGGCAGAAATAGATCTTAAAAAATTTTACTGTGCATTATGAGAACATTTAAAATTCTAATCAGATGTTAAATTATCTCTTAGATGAGAAAGAAGAGGGTATCCTGGGAAGCATACTGTTACCTAGTTTTCAGATAGCTTTGCTTACCTCTGAAGATCACATTAATCGCAAATATGCTTTTAAGGTAAGGAAATAATACAGTTTTTAATTCTGTGTTCAAAACTCACGTTGGTTAAAAATGAATATTGAACCATAGATTATTACAAAAGGCTATTTTAGTTATAGTGATTTTTTATATTTAAAATATATCAATTAATGGTCTTACCGTTGTATAGAAGAATGTCCCTCAAATTAGGAAGCACATGCTAAACTATTTAGGGGTCAAGTGTCTTCATGTGTATGCTTTCAGATGGTTCTAGGTAAAGCAAACATGTCAGAATGCTAATAATTGATAAATATAATTATGGATGTCCTACTGATTATTATACGTTCTTTCAAGGTTACTATATGTTTGAATTTTTTTTTAATCCAAAAATGTTCCACTTCCTAAGATTTCGAATTTTTAAATAATAAATTTGGGGCCTGGACTCAGCAGCTGACACCTGTAATTCTAGCACTTTCAGAGTCCAAGGTGGGAGGATCACTTGAGTCCAGGAGTTGAGGACTAGCCTGTCTCTAAAACAAACAAACAAATGAAACTATACTAGCCAGGCATGGTGGCTAGTCCCAGCTACTTGGGAGGCTGAGGCGGGAGGATAACTTGGGCCTGGGAGGTCAAGGCTGCAGTTAGCCATGATTATACCACTGCAGTTCAGCCTGGGCAACACTGTAAGACCCTGTGTCAAAAAAAAAATTATTAATAGGATAGACACAGTGGTTCATGTTGTTATCCTAGGGCTTTAGGAGGCCAAGCTGGACAGATAGCTTGAACCCAGAAGTTCAAGACCAGCCTGGGCAACATGGTAAAACCCTGCCTCCACTAAAATTAGAAAAATTGGCCTGGTGTGGTGGCATGTGCCTATAGTCCCAGCTACATAAAAGGCTGAGGTGGGAGGATTACTTGACCCCAGGAGGCAGAGGTTGCAGTGAGCCAAGATTGCACCGCTACACTCCAGCCTGGACAACAGAGTGAGACCCTGTCAGAATAATAATAATAATAATAATAAATTTGGAGGCAGAGTACTATAAGAGACAACAGTGTTTTTAGTAAATGTACATATATGTACATATTATATGCCTGGGCATGGTGGCACATGCCTATAATCTGTAATCCCTACTTGAGAGGCTGAGGTAGGAGAATTGCTTGAAATTCCAGGAGGCAGAGGTTGTGGTGAGCAAAGATTGTGTCATTGCACTCCAGCCTGGGCAATAAGAGTAAAACTCCATCTCAAAAAAAAAAAATTGTTACATTAGCCAAGGAGAAAAAGAACAGGAAAGGTCTAGTGGTGAGGTTAAGGAGTTGGCTGGGTGATGGATGGCCTCAGTGAGAAAGAAGATAATGTAATTTGAGTGAAGACCTGAGGATAAGAGGGGAGTATCTTCATATTTAAATTACCTTTATCAAAATAAGCTTCATGAACAGTATAAACCAGAAAAACATAATTAAATATTTTATGATGTTACAACAAAGGTTAATAGTTTGAAAACTTAAAATTATAACTTTATGAAGTACACATGTAGAGGTGCATATTAGGACTGTTATTTGGCCATGAATTTAAAATTTGTATTGCTTATCAATTTAGCAAGTGTTTATTAATTTGTGCTCTTTGTAGGACGTTTTTTCCAGGTTTTTAAACTCTTAAAAAAATACTACAATGTTAAATGGCAGTAAAAGTGACCATGCATCTTAAGTATATTTTCTTTGTAATTATTTGGTTTAGCTTTAATTTTATCTGTAACAAGAATAGTAATTGCTTTTTCAATTTCTCTCTTGTGTGGTATTGTTTCCCCTGAATTTATGAGCTGCTTTACTGCTAAGTTTGTTGACATTGATGCAAATGCATGTCAGAATGGTAAGTAGAAACTTTTATAGACAATTATTGAACACAAGCATGGAACTTAAAGCTAGAATGGGTACTTTGACATCTCTAGTAAATATTTCCATTTGACTGATGGCGAGCATGGGTGGGGTTTCTTAGTGTCTTGAGTCATGGCTAGAACAGGATCTTCTTAACACCAGCCCAGTGTTCCTTACATTGATCACAAATATGGGCAGTGATCTTTATTTTTTCAAAATCCCGCTCAGAGGGTCCAGTAACACTTTGTAGGTGGTTTTAATAATCTTAACTTAGAACATTTAAGCTGTTTATTAAGGAACAGCTCTAAGAGGAAACACCGTTTTGGATCATTTATAAATCTTTTGTGTTTGGGTGTAGATATCTATAAAGAATTCTATGAAATACTTAGAAAATGCAGCAATGCTTTTTGAGGCCTAAAGAAATTGCTAATGCAGGAGGGAAATGCCATAACATGTACATTTCTATTAATTTTGTTGCTGTTTGCTCAGAATATTATTAAATAAAGAGGTGTGGCCAGGCATGGTGGTTTACACCTGTAATCTCAGCACTTTGGGAGGCTGAGGTAAGCAGATCACTTGAGGTCAGAAGTTTGAGACCAGCCTGGCCAACACGGCAAAACCCCGTCTCTACTAAAATACAAAAATCAGTTGGTCATGGTGGTCCACGCCTGTAATCCCAGCTCATTGGGATGCTGAGGCAGGAGAATCACTTGAGCCCAGGAGGCAGAGGCTGCAGTGAGCCAAGATCGTACCTGTACTACACTCTAGTCTGGGCAACACAGTGACACTCTGTCTCAAAAAAAAAAAAAAAAAAAAAAAAAAAAAAAAAAAAAAA